TAAAATATTTCTTTTATATTTCAAGCAGGAAATAGTTTTAATTAAGATTCATATTATGATCGATGTTATATATGTATATATACTTAGTTCTTCTGGTATATGTACATTTGGAAACCAGAATAATGAGAACAGGAAAAGTTTGGCAGGCAAGAAAAAAAATGAAAGTAAATATTTTATTTGTTGAAAGATTAATGAATGTACACAGATCTAGGTAGGAAAACTCACCGGGACCAAAATTTTCGCATGTGGACTCGATGAGCTCTAGTTGGTGAATGTGTACATTGATGTAAATATTAATCTTCTCTTCATTCTTATCTACACATCTAAACTCGAACGCTATACCATCACTTTTTATTGCGTATTATTCTCGTATTTATTGTCTAGTGTAATCTTACCTTAGATTAAGTTTATGCATTTCATCCATTATAAAATTAGCTGATGTCATAATTGATTATAAATAATAGTGTAATGTAAGGAAATAATTTTTTAGATTTTATTCAAATCATTTCTAATTCTATTCTCAAACTTTCAATGAGTATTGATCGATATGATTTCAAAAATAAATGACAGATAATAAATAAACATACATGTATGAATACAAAAACAAAATGTATGTGGTACTCTTTTTTCTTCGTATACATTCTTTATATTCGTACATGTGTTTTTTTTTCAAAGTTTGTATCATTTATTATTTCAGATTATGTCGAGTAAATCTCATTGAAAGATTGAGAATAAAATTAAAAATTGTTCCAATAAAAGTTAAAAATGTATTTTGCTACGCATTGGATTGTTGAGCGCAAATATTTAAGTTCTACATCATACACAATATGAGTAAATAAATCAAAAGTAATCAGAATATGATACCTATGTATTCACTTGAACAAATATCTATTGAAGCTTTACTACGTAGTTAAGAAACAAAAAAAGAATAAACACACTCATATATCAAGAGACATAAAATGAAAGAGCAGGACACCGTCTTGCTTTTGAAATTTGTTATGAATGAGCATGAATTGTAATTTATGTTTACTTTATATCGTTCTACTTTAAGTATAAATCACATTACTGAATATTTTTAATTTTGTACGCTTTATTTAATCAGTATTTGTGAATAAAATACCTTCAAATCTTATGTATTATGGCGTTAAATACAAAATATTAAAAAATATCATGAAATACTCGAATTTCATATTTTATTTTTTTCATTATTAAAAGAAATACGAGATGAATATACTGTTTTTTAAATGCAAATTTCAATACTATTACATTCTGATTTATTATTCTATTGCAGATCGGTTCATGGAATATGTCGCTAAAGAGAAGACATGCTAGAGTTACACGCACATCTTTATAATGGGTTATTACAATAGAATAAATTCTTGTGTTTATCGATTTTAACCACCTATATAGGATTTGATCAATTTTATAAAAGCAGAAGAAAAATGTATACGGCAAATTATACTTCAGTAATCTTCTAGTGCATCGAAGCAATATTGAATGAAAACGTTGCGTAATCGATATAATAATTATTTCATCACAGCATCTAATCTGTTCAATGGTTTATTTTTTATTCTAGCAAACAAAAGTGTTATGATTGTACAATAAGAACATCATTAAGAGTCAATAAAGAAATATTTCAAAGCATTTTTGCTTCTCTTTCTTCCTGTCTTTTTCAATAATACACATCCAATGCGAATATAACGGCTTGGTTTTTTAATTTTCTATTTTTCCAGAAGCACACATACATTGTTTTCTTAACTATATATCGAGTAGAATCGAAAGAAAAATTTTTGATTAAATATTGATGTTATCGAGACTGAATGTTTCTGGCATGTTTCAATGTTTATAGAGTTTTTAATTTTCTTAAACCTAATTTCCATTGTAAAAAGAAAGACGTCTGAATATGTCAAAAAAAAAAATTTCTTGCTCAAATTTCGAATTGTCAAGCATCTTATTTTAAAAAGTAAATTAATTTTTGTCAATATTTGATGATGTTCTGTCTACTATTTGACTTAAGATGTGCATTAACACCCTCGAAGTTCGAGTCTTAGATCATTTACAAAAAATATATTTCTTTATTATGAAAAATAAGCAATAAAATTTTCTATTTCATATTAAAAAACTTCGTTTTCTTTTATTATTGATTAGACATTTCGTAATTTTTAATTATTTCTTTTATGTGAAAGTGAAACTGATACGAAGCGACTGCTTCATGTAAGTCTTCTATTATAGAAAATTTACTTAAAATCGATGATATATAATTGAACACGATATTTATTATGTTCATTCTATTGCAATGTAAAATATATTTCCTTTATTGTCTTTTTACTACATTTAAATATTAAAGGATATTTACAATACGTACCTTAAACTAGAACTGTAAATCAATTTGATTACAATTTATAGACATGTATATGATTCTATTTTATGCAAGACACATCTTCAATTTTGTCAATGTCAATAATCTTTTCCAGTTTCTAGTTAATATGTTTTTAACTTAAATAAAATATAGCTATGATAAGGAAAACATTTCTTGTTGTTGTGGGTATTTGTTTAATATTTATCCTGATTCTATCATAACGAATAGAATATTTATTTGCTTAAACATTAGTCCAAATATTTTTATATCAATTGTTAATATTCCCAGTCGTAAGCTTTCATCTTTTTTCAACTACTAATAATCTCATTAAAATAGATCGTTTAGACAACAGAGAAATCATGTTCATTTTTCAAATATTCCACTATTCAGTTGTTGTAAAGCTGTATTATTCATAATATTTATTTACAATGATAAAGAAACATTAAATTTATTATAAAACACACGAGATACAACTATAGCTTGTTGTTGAACTTATTAAAATGGAATTACTCAACAAATATATTCAACATAAATCACTTTTCGATAACCTAATAACGTGACATAAACTGTATATATCGAAATATTTATATCCATAACAATCAATATTGAAATAATTCATTGGTAATAATACTACGATGCATAATATTTTCAAAATTAGTGATTGATATTCGTTTAGAACGAGTTCAAATCAAAAGAAAATGAATATTTATTTGAAAACAATTATTTTATCTTATTAAAAGTAAATCCTCTTAGTATTTATATAGAGTTGAAGAAAGTGGTTTGCAAGAAACTGTATATTAAAACTAATATTTACATCTTTGACAAGCTTACATTACATTATTGCAAGAAAAGAACGAAAGGATTTCTAAGGCTCATGTAACATAAAAATATATATTATCACATAGACTGAATGGCAGAATAAATGTGTAGTACGTAAAAATGGAAGGTAATCTAAAGTGAATATATTAATTCCATGCACCAATTTTCTATCATTATTTCTTATAAAGTACGGTTAAGATCTATAGAATACAATTTGTCTCAAGGATATAATGTTTTATACAAAGTAGAGGTGCATACTGTTCAAAATATGCATTAATAAAACAGTATAAGAATTGAATAGTTTATTTAGAATAAGGTAGTTTCTTTTAGTAGATGTAGAAAAAAAGCTCTTTACACAATCTCTGGAAGATTAAAATGTGAAGCACAATAAAGCTGCTGATATTGTAACAGATAGAATTAATCAAAACATGTTTCGTGTTACGAATTCCTACCTACTGTGAATGTATTTCATTGATGAATGATATTAAAGTAAAGAACAACAATCATACTAATATCACAGTGAATTTTGACCTTACAGTTGTGTCTGTCACGATCTGTGATGATTAGATATAGACAAGATGATTTCAATCTCGGTCGCGCCAGAATCAGAACCAATACTTCTCCATTGAAAATAATGTCTTCTATGATCGTGTCAAACTTTCGTCAAATATCATATTCTCACAATTCATGTGTTCTTATCAAAGTAATCATTTATTTCGGTATATCAAACCTCATTCTTTCCAGTTCATCCTAATTACATGTGGCTTCATTCATATTTCATCATACATTGTTACCAACAATCAATTACTAATCATTTAAAGAGAGTACGCTTTCAACAACGATATGTTAATTAAACACAGTTCAATGATAAAAGTTGTTAAATATATTCATAGTGAATCATATAGATTTGAGATCAGTACAGAACGTATTCATTCAAGCAATCACTCAAAGATAAAGCGAAAGAATTATTCGAAACTCAAAAAGCTATTAAAAAGAAGAAATGCTGTTTATATAAATTAAAATGAATAAAATATCCTTCAATGCATCAACTTCTTCCAAAACAAGACATTTACAATATGGAATACTAGTTTATTTTTTTCGATAATAAATAAAATGGTTGCTTTCGTTTAAAAGAAATCTTTTAGATTTCATATTATTTAAATGAAACACACATATGCATGCATACATGAGAAACATCTATATATGAATAGGCAGATAGATACGGAAAAAAAGACAGATAATATAATAACACGACTGTTCTTGTAGTGTATCAAACGAAAAAAATCTGACTTGATTCAAGCCTAAAGGATTTCATGTTATGTTACTAGTTCGATTACATTAGTAGATAGAGTATTGCATCAATATTAGTCATAGACTGTTTTTATGACTTATGACTGTTTATTATATTGGTCAAACATTTCTAAATTCTCTGTAAATACGATCAAGTATTTATACATTGGTTAATACTCTTTATTCAAAATATTTAAGATGTCATACTATATAGTCATTGTATAAGATACAAGATATAAATTTGAAACAACATATGAGAACGAGAAATCATGAACATTATTGACATCGATTAGTCTCACAATTGGGAAGAAAAATTATACTTGTTAGCAATATCTACGAACATATTGTTGACTTCTGTTATTGGTATTATCGCCGAATCTTATTTGATAAATCTTTCTATTAACCCAAGTTAATCAGTTTAAGTGAATTTAACTAATTTTTATTCATAAGAATTATTATTCATGCTAAATTTCTAATAATATAAACATGAATAATTACAGATGTCTGTGAAAATAATATTCACCATATTGATTTAAACTCTAGAACATTGAGTAATTGAAGTAAGAACAAATGGACAAGATATTTGTTTAAAACTAATTGTTGAATTATCAGCATTCATAAACCAATCAAATCTCCAATAACAACCTGGTTGAATAGCAATCGGTAAATTAGCACAATCTGATCTTTGACTAACACCGCCATATCTTTGACCCCATGAATATGAACCAGGATATTCACTTGAACATCCATCAAATACACCAACTCCACCGCCTGGTATTTGAAGATCAAAATGATTATCACCAAGATCACCGCTTGTATTTGTTACTTGAACTATTAGTTCTTTATCAATAACAGGTCCTGATGTAAATATCAATGAATAACAAGCGCAACACCAATCTGCTTCACTTTGGCCCTAAGAAAAAACAATATTAGATTCAAATTTTCTTAATTTCAATAAATGAACTTAATCCTGTTGTTTTCTTACACTAATATGAGCAGCAGCAAAACCATATGAAAGAGTTGAACTAACACTCCATGGTTGTTGATCATTACACATATAAGCAGTACCACCAGTACAGCCTGATTGAGTATTAGGATCAACAGATGTAATACCATCTTGTGCACATGTTCTAACTGGACTTGTCACAGAAGCTTTATCTGGCCATGCACAACTTGCTTTACAACAATCCCAATACAGAGTAGTAACACCAGCTTGACGACCATCATTTGTAGATGATGTTGCTGCACTGAAAGTACTACTTGAGGAAGACGATGAACTAGATGATTCTCCTGATGGTAAACATTGAGAATAATAAGGATTAACAACAATACATGTTGACTGATCGCAACATGTTGAATCAGTCCATCCAATGCCACCACATTGTTGCCATAGAGCACTACAACCTTTTATAAAGACAAATAAACAAAGAAAATTAAGAAAAAAGAACATACCATAAAAGAGTCTACTCATATACATCTGACATAATCTATTTTGTTGATGAATTATACACATTCTAATCAATTTTTTATTACTGAGATCTATCATTCTAACGAATAGATTGAAACTAGCTGCTGTTCAAAAGAGAGCATATGAAGATAAACTCTGATTTTCTAGGAATTTGTATTTCATGAAGTAGACATCCATGAAATAAACGAATCTTAACATACTTACGATTCTCTGAACTAGTAGAGCTTGGTAATATGCTACTAGTGCTGGATGATTCTGATGAAGATGATGAACTACTTGTTGAATCTGTACTGCTGGAACTAGATGAAGTTGGTAGACATTGTGAATAATAAGGATCGACGAAGGTACATGTCGAATCAATACAACATGTAGCTCCCAGCCAGTTTTCACCATCACACTGACTGTAGACACTTTGACAAACTATTTACATGAAAAATTACAAAATAATTAATACTTCAAAAATAAAAAAAACTTTTCTATGCCTTCAGCAGAATCACTTGTGCTTGATGATGATGATAATGTTGTCGATTCCGTTTGGATTGTCAAGCATTGTGAGTACCACAGATTATTAAATTGGCATTCTGATGGCGGACAACAGTCTGTTGGACCTCTGTAGTCAAAACCATCACATTGACCATATTCAGGCACACATGGAACTATACAATTAATAAAGACAAAAAAAACGAAAATTATAGACTATGGTGTATAAAACATCTCTTACTTATCTTTGCTATATTTAACAACTCAATAAGCAAAATCAATATAAATTTCAACATTATATGCGTTAGAAAAGTTCATTTGATTTCTATAAATATACGGTCTTTTCTTCTCTATTTATACCTCACTGTACAATCGCTTTCATTGCAAAATTGCTTTTTTTTTCATCAGAATCATGCTGTTACTACATCTTTTGTAATAGACAAAAAAAATATTGCGTCTTACTGTTTTCATCGATAGAAACAAGTAATACGACTAAAATAAACAAACAACATGTTCTCAACTCTTTCAACTGGTAGGACTAGTAAATAAAATTCTATGCATATATTGCTTTAATTATGCACGTACTTTTTCAAAAAAAAGAACGAAGTAGTCAAATAATATAGAGCAGCATTCATTATCAACATGATCGACGTAAATAGAAATGTTTTTTCAGTAGAATCAATGCATCAGAATGAAGCACTCTAAGTGCAAATGTGTTATATACAGCAAAAAATAGTGTATAATAATGTTGATTCTGAGGACAACTAATCAAAGATGAAAAGACTCAAACCCTATTTAAATGAAAACTTTACGAATATATTACTATTAAGAAATAGTCTATCAGCACAGATCAATTCTAAAAATATACTAATCAATCGTCTTGTTGAAAATTAAAACACATTAAAGATCAATCATATTTACTATGGTGTGAAGCATAATATTTATGTAGTTCTTCGCAAGTTTCATTTTTCTTACATTTACTTTCTTGACGTACACACCAAAAGTGGTCATTGTGTGTCTCTATGATCTTGAGAACGGAACGTCAGAAAAGACCCATCTAAACGCAAAGTGAAAGTATCAAAATAGAGCCGATATCGTTTTTTTTCCAATCTTCCTTAGGTTGTTCTGTTTGCTTACACAGAGTGCCCCAAAAATAAAAATTTTTGTCAGTTTAGTCTTTTTCATCTTTAGAAATAGTTCATGTTTGCAAGATTTCACATGGTTAAATAGAATGCTTGTCAAGATTCGCTCAAGGTTCTGCTCAGATACTTTTCTAAATTGAGAATGCAAGATCATATTAGGATTTACTCTCAATTATACTCAGGATCTTGACAAGAATAGAAGAGAGGATTCTGCCAAGATTTTTCAGACTTTGTCAAGATCTGTTCTGAATCCTAATACAAAGATCTAGTTAAGAGTTGAAGTTATTTCAAAGGAGGATTTTAAAAACGATTAAAACAAGATTAATCACTATCCAAAAGCGAATAAATTCCATTAAGCTTCGATTAGGATCATGCTATGAATTTTTCAGTTACAAGCGTTTTCGGATTCTTACGAAACAATCCCAGCCATGGTGACAATCTAGATAGAAAATATCTTATTTTGTGTTGTGACACTACAGATAACAACAGATTAAAAAAAAAGTGAAACATTTCAGTGAAGCGCAAAGGAAAAAGAACTCAAGCGACAGCAATAATCAAAAACAAATAAAAACATCCAAATAAAATTTCAAAGTATTATATAAATTCAAATCTTCTCCATTTAAAATATTTTTCATTGATGCAATACGAAGCACACTATGGACAAAAATAAAACGTTGAAAAATACCAACTAGTGATAGTGCTGCTGCTACGACATCTGAACATACTAACATAAGATCGCGATGATCTTCTTATGCTTGTATGGTTCAAAATTTTCTACTGGTGTGACTTGATGCTAATATTGATGAAATGAATAAGGATCATTGTATCAATACCATAAACGATTGAAAAGAAATGGTAAACAAGATACATCGATTCACTGATGTATCTTGAATGTATTGATTTCATGACCGATATTCAAGAAGACAAAATATTTATGATCGTTTCTGATGCCTTCGAGCAAAGAATTCTTCCCATTTTCTACGACATTTTACAGATAAGTACTACTTATCTGTGGAGTGACAACAAAGCTTGGCATGAAGATTGTATTAAGGTATAGCCAAAAATAAAAGGAATCTTTACAGATATTGCTCCTAACCGTAAAGGACTTCAAGAAGACGCACATGAAATATGGTCAAAACATAGTTTCAATCAGCTTCACCGCGACTAGTAGTGAAAGCATCAAGCCAAAGCTCAACCAATTGGATTCATGATTTATGTATACTCAGATAATGAAAAAATTTTATTTACTGTTTCTTTCGAACAGTACCATATCAATGAATTTATTACGAGCTGTCATGAGATTTTCGCTGACAATTCAAAAGAGTTTCACTAAATCAGCAAATTCTAGCAAGACTACCACAATCATCTTCGGATTTAGTTGTATATCCGTCCATTGTTTCTTTATTCGATGCTCAACCGATCATTACGATTGATGAAGGTCGATGTCATCATACATATAGAATTTTTCATCCGTGATCTCCACAACCAAATTGCCCAGCGTCATACAAAACAGTTTACTGAACATTCAAATTCGAATTCATTTACTGTTTATTGTGGTCAAGGACTTTCGAAGGCTGACTTTAATCAATTGGTTATAAGCAAAGGTGAACTTTTATCATTTAATAACTTTTTATCAACCAGTATGCACTGTGAAGTATCTCTCACTTTTGCTCGTCAAACTATGAAACCGTTGGATGTTATTGACATTTTATTCGTCATAAAAATTGATCCGTCTATCGCATCAATGCCGTTTACTAATATCCTTGATACCAGATATTACAAAAGAGAAGAAGAAATTCTTTTTTTCATATATTCTATTTTTCGGATCGAACCAATGAAACAAATCGATGAAAACAATCGCCTTGGGTAAGTAGATTTTAAATTGGTTAGTGACAACCATCCAGAACTCCATGTACTGACTAAACACCTGCGCGAAGATACTCATCATCAACAGAAATGATGGAATCGTTTGGGCAATCTGATGATTACACTGAGACAGTTCAAGAAAACCTAAAAGATTTATGATATCCTTCTTAAGCATACAACGACTGATCTGAAAAAAACATCTGTTTATCACTACGTCGGATGGGTGAAGCCGAGCCAAGGTGAATATGCAGATACTTTTGCCTATAATAAAAAATGCATCGAAATCAACGAAAAGGCTCTCTCACCAACGAATAAGTATGGGTGTGAGGTATGATTCTTATCTTCGACCTGACCCTCTACCACACCCTCGACTTATTCTTTCTGTTCTAATGTAACAAGAATTTATTGCATGAAAAAAAAAAGAAAAGAATGCTCATCAATTTAGAGATCGGCCGAACCACCTCTTGTGATTCTGGTCTGAGTCTCAGTTTAAACTTTTTATTGCTTCTGATCCTGATTTTGATTCTAGAAAAAAATGATTTTTCTAATGATCTGTATGATTCTTTGAATACATACAAAATGAATATTGATAGTTTTGAGAAATTCGCAGTATGAGTATACCTTTATATGCATGTATCAAAGCTAAAGAAAAACAACACTAATTTTTTTTTGTCTCCCTCAAAATTTTTCTAGGTTCTAGTCGTGTGGCTTAGAAAATTCTCTCAAAGCTCACAGTTCTGGTTCCCGTAAAAATTAAAATTTGGTCCCGATTACGGTTCCAATGGGATCGATATCAGTTTGCAGATCCCTACATCAGTTGAATGATTTTTTCTAGATCTAGTTGAAGTTGTGTTCCATCTCCTACATAAAAAGTGATACAACTAAACATAGGAATAATTTATTCAATTAATGAGAGAGAGAAAAATAATGGTTGAATACATTGAAAACGACAACTTCATATAGAATTGAAGATGTTTTTCTATAGAGAAATTTACAGTTGATTAGTTCGAATATGCGTGTCAAATAATTATTTTACGTGAAAACAAAAATAAAATAACTAAGAAATGAGTAAGAAAAACATTAATTAATCACTAGTGTCATTGACACGAAATATAATAATATTCGTTGGAGAAGTAAAATAAGATAAGTTCGAATTCAAAAACTGATAATATCAAACCATTCAACAATGAAGAGTGTTAAGAAAATTGTAAAAGAATAAACATATTGATTCGTTTTTTTTTGTATCATTAAGATCTGAGAAGTTCAAAACTGTATTTCGCTTTCTTCTATTATATATGAAAGTTTTGTTTTGAACGAACATGTTATTTCTAAGATATTAACAATAGTTGATACGTATGTAAAGCCAAATGTTCAACAAAATATTAGATATCAAGATTTTTTTATGTAGTTCTTCCGTCAAAAACGTTTCAGTCACTGTTGTCACTACTCTACGTAATTTCTATTTACCCAATAGTTTTTTAAATATAGAAGAATTGCATATCTTCAATTTCATTCTTATTAATAATATTTTTCTTATTCTTTTCTATTGAAATTCTGTATCTTCTAAGATATTTTGGATCTTTATGCTTCGATTTATTCAGCACAATAATTGTCTGCAAAAATACATCAATAAACAACATCAATACAAAAAAAAAGCCAAAACAATCGTTTCTATAAGTGTACAGCATTCCAATAAAGGATTTTTGTTTAGGTCATCAATGCTTTGCAATAACTAACACGACAGAAAACACTCATCCACTCATAAATATCATCCAGATTACATAATTCTAGGTTTTGAATTACATTAGTTATAAGGAATGACTTTAACAAAGAACCAATGCTTCGACATGAGCATAGAGAGTAGTGATTCACCTAGTAATGAACCATCAACTGATACTGGAAAACAATGAATTCAGACTGATTATATTAATGGATGAATAATAAAATGTGAAAATTGTTATGCGAATATTAACCAAAAATTAATTAGCGACTTTTCAATCGATAAAGACAAGCTTCTTTGTCGACTTTAGTATTTTGCTAGCTTCAAGATTCTTAAAGCAAAAATAGCTATGAATAAAGTTATCAATCAAAACTAGTCTTTGAAATTATGTTGATATCCGTTATGAGAGTTCTCTTATTAGTGAATTTTGCAATACCTATGTCATATGTTCTTAATGATTTTGATCATCTAATTGATTGAAATGTAATTTTTCTAATTTATAACGACAAGAACGAAGCTCTTATTCCAGTAAAGCACAATTATCTTTGGAAGAAAAGTCTCCCACATG